CTGTTGGATAAGGTGTCTAAGTCCATAACTATTTCTGGTATGTACTTGACCCGACCCGGCATGGTCCATTTGGGTTGCATGGCACCATGCAATTGGATAAACTAAATGAGAGAAATAACGCTTGGAGATTATTAATATATTATAAGTTCTAATATATTAATAATATTATTTGATTAGTTTGATCAAGAATTAATTTAGAATTAATTAAGTGATCAAAAGATAACTAATTAAATATATGGGTTGATTAAGTAAATCATCCATATCTTGTATAGTGGGCTAAAAGGCTCCATGGATCATCAAGTTGGGTTCCACCCATAGGATGCTCCATGGATGCTCCATGGGAGTTACAAACCCATGGGTCATGGAAATGAAGAGTCATGACACATTAGGGTTTAACCCTAGATGTGTCAACACTATATAAGTAATATGATCTCCTCCCAAATCGGTTACACTAAGAATAAGGGGCTTGGCCGATTTTGAAGAGTGAGTATTCTCTCATAAGTTCTTCCAAGAGCATTTGGTGTTGTGTGAAGCATTTGAGGCATCACCACTTGAGGTGCTAGGCTCACAAGGTTTCAAGGAACACAAGCAACAACAAGGTAAGTTATTCTATCTATACTTTATGTTAAAATTGTTCCCCATGTATGCTAGATAGGAATATAACCTTGGAATTCAACTTTGCATGACAAATTAGACAAACATAGATCCAAGGTTATTAGGGTTGCATGTACACTTAGGAAGTGTTAGAATGCTCAAAACCCATCAGTGGTATCAGAGCCTAGGCTTGTTTGTTCTTATTTGTGCTTAAAAGTTGAAAAGAATCGAAAATTTGCTGTCTGCGATCGGACTCGCGAGTCCATAGGGGGGACTCGTCGAGTCCATGTGTATCTTCAACCAACTCGGCGAGTCATGTTCATGCACTCGGCGAGTAGGGTCGAATGAGTGCAGAATTTCGATTCAGTTGCTGGAAAATGAATTAGAAACATTACCCTAAACTGTTTTAGTAAATGTAAACTTGTTTTTGGTGGTGTAATGTTTTGCTAATTCATTTACAACAACTAGTTATCAAAATTACAAAGTTTTATGTAATTTTTGATTATGTTCATATTCATGTTCTTGTTCTTATGATGTTTTAGATGATCATAGGAATTATTTGTAACCTATTTGGTAGTTTAATTCTTGATCATAATGTGTTTTAATGGAGTCCATAACTTATCCTTAAGTTATGGAAAACCAAGAGTCACTTGAGTTAAAAACCATTAAGAAAACACAAGAGTTATAAAAATGAAGAGTCTTCATTTTATGACTCTATTAAACTCATAAGTTACAAGAAATGAAAAGTTTTGAAAGTTACAAAACTTGCCCTCAAGTTTTGGAACAAGTAAAGTTAAGTTAAAACTTTAGTTCCAACCCCTAGAATTTTAAAAGTTAAAATTCAACCCTTATACTTATATTATGATAATTTAATAATTATATATATATGTATAAGAACAAG